ACCGGGAGGACCAGACGATGACCAAATATGGGCGTGTTCCGCTAATCTCTCGATCCCCGTGTGTGTCACATGCACTACTAAGCACAAGCCATTCATTTAAATAGGATGCAAGATTTTTTGTCAATATGTAAAAGTCTTGCCAAAAGTGGTACTGTAGCCTCTCCCTCTCTCCCTGACTCATGTTGCCAGATATGGAGGAAAAATCCAGCTGGGACAGCTGGATAACAGCTGTATAGACAAGAGCTTTGTCAACAACAAATCTATAACCAACATCTTTTTCACAAAGATAGAAATCCTGGTTTTATTCCTTGTTTTGTCATTAATAATTTGAGAATCATAACGAGACCTTCTTTAGTTCTGCTCCACATGGTACTTTACCTTTGAGATTAGCTCGACGCGATGAGGTCTGACGCCCGGATCACAGACTTTCTGATTGGTGAAACGGTGGAGGGCGGGACATCGAATTGAAAACAATAACATTATGACAGATCAGGGCCCTTTCATGACATGAAAATCTTACATATTGCTACTTTCAGAGTATTAGAATTGCTAAATTAAATTGCCCTTTTACTGGAAATATTATTACACTGGTGTATTAGTATTTTCCACCAAATTAGGGCTCATTGTGAATGTAGCAACTGTCAATGTGTCAAAGCCAATCCAATGTGGTGTTGCTTTTGGACGGTTTCCTTTCGCTTCCTTCAGCCAAATATCAAATAATCCAATTCCTTTTTATATAAAGTTAAATGCTCATAATCAGAGCTTTTGTTTTGGCTTTTCTCAGTAGAATTTATATGGATTCATGAGCAGTGAATAGACTACAAAAAGTAAACACTGGACTTACTAGAAGCGTTGTTTGAATGTCTCATGCTACGCTACGCTAACCTGATCAGGCCCAATAAAAATGTTTTTGGATTTTCATAATAGCATTTCAATCTGTGGAATTACTTTTTAAAATTACAGTTATGCTTAAGTTTTAAAAATACAAAATATACAAGTATTTTTGTTCAAACGTCAATCATTTATTTATTAGTTTGCTTCTTTACGCGATTCACTTTGTTTTACATTTGCTGAAGTCTCACATCTCGGAAAATATCACATTGATTTGGTCTAAATATTTTACAAAACAGTGACATTTCTTTTGTGGAAATCCTCTCCACACATCTGTAAACTGTCGAGGAGAGGACTTTTCTGTTTCTGTTTCTGTTCTGAGCCTCACGTGTTTCCCAGTGAGGCTGCAGTTACACGTTTGGCCAGAGGGAGCAGTCGTGAGACACTTCACATAGCCCTTTTAAAGCTGGGGTTCCTAACTTTCAAACCTCAAAATACAGAACGATGTAATAAAATCAAACTAGATCTTCACTTTCAAAACATTGCATTTTTGGCCTATGTCACAATTTTCAGCTTTAATATCAGATTTTTAGCAGATTTTTCATACATAAAATATAGATATATGGATATACTGTGTATATAGATAGATGAAAACAGAAGTTAGGTATCCCAGCTTTAACCGGTCTGTTTGTATGGCCAAACTTGCATGTCGAAAGCCAAATCTTATCAGGGGCTAAGCAGGGCAGGGCCTGGTTAGTCCTGTGATGGGAGACCTCTGGAAACAGCAGGTGCCACAGTGGGGCGGCTGCGGCTGTAAAGTGCCAAACTGTGGTTGTGTCCTCAGGCAAGACACTTCTCCTACATTAGAATGAGTGTGGTGTGTGTGTGAATGGTTGGTGGTGGTGGGAGGGGCCGATGGCACAGACTGCCATGCCTTGCTTCTGTCAGTGTGCCCCAGGGCAGCTGTGGCTACGGTAGTAGTTTATCACCACCGTGTTTGGAGAGAAAGAATAATGACGTGAAGAGACTTTGAGCGTCCAGAAAAGTGTATTATTATTACACAAGTTGACAGCCAAAAAATGGTCAGGGGTTTCTCAACTGATTTAGACTAATTTTGGTGTTCTGAGTCCGAATATCACATGCATTTTGCTCTATCAGATCAACTTTTTGAGATACAGCCAAAGTGTTACGGATTATGTACGTCTACGTTATTATGAATTCTGCTTATCAAATTTGATGGAGTAAATAAAAACTAACTGACTTTGGATACGTTGACTTTTATTTCTTGAGGAAAACGGAAAAAACGTCAAGGGTTTCTCAGCTGATGATCCGCAGAAATTTGTTTTTTACGCAAAATCGATTTAAAAAAATATTTCTGTAGCAGATCATCCTGACGTGATTGAGCAAAACCAAGGTCATTGTCGGACTCAGAGCATCAAAATTAGTCTAATTCAGCTGGAAAACCCTGGACTATTTTCAAAAAAATTTTTTTTGTTACCCAGTGTTATTATTGTTAGAAACTTTTAGAATTATGTATTTATTTGTTTTGTTTGTTTGAATGGATGTGTTTCTGCTGCTACTAGTGAACACATTTCTCCTTCAGGGATCAATAAAGTGTCAATCTTTCTATCTACTTATCCCAGAGATAAAAATAAATTATGAATTTGTATTTGAATTTTTACACAAACTATCGATGGTCCCAAATGCAGCAGTACAGGATTTGGTTTGAACTATTTAAATATGAAATAGACCACAAAATCTGAGCGTGTAAATATACTGGGAGGGGCTGATGGCACAGACTGGTGGCCTCGCTTCTGTCAGTGTGCCCCAGGGCAGCTGTGGCTACAGTAGTATTTTATCACCACTGTGTTTGGAGTGAATTGATAATGATGTGAAGAGACTTTGAGATTCCTGAAAGGCGCTGTATAAAACCAATGCATTATTGTTATTATTATTATTATTGTGTGTCCTCAGGTCGTCGGTCTGTCCCTTGTGCCTCGGGGAGAACTGAAAACCCTCTTTGCCTCATGTCCAGCAAAACTCAGCAGCAAAGAAAGGCAAGTACCTCCATAAACACTGCGTTTCATGTCCGTCCAGCGCCGGGACTTTGAGCTGAGGGTAACAGGCCGGTTCACGCAGGTCAACTACGCCATGTGACCTCTGACCGCGGACCAAAACAGAGCGAGGTGAGAGGGTGAGAGATTACGCTGTTGGGTTAACAGAGTCAACAGGAGCAGTCAGCAGCTTCGACCTCAAAATATCTCTGTCCTTTTACTTTGGAAAGGAGTATTTAAATCTATATTACTGCCTACAAGAGTATTGATAATTACTACATAAGATAAGATAAGATAAGACTTTATTAATCTCACACAGGAGAAATGTACATGTCACATTGGCAAGGATAGGAACACTAAAGAATTGTGCAAAAGTAAGAAATGTGCAGCATGTAGCGCTCCTTCTTGCACTGAGGGTGCCTCAGTCTTCCACTGAAGGAGCTCCTCAGCTCCTCTACAGTCCTGTGCAGTGGGTGGGAGGTATTGTTCATGATGGAGGTGGCTTTGGCTAGCACCCTTCTGTCCCTCACCTCCTCCACAGAGTCCAGGGAGCAGCCCAGAGTAGAGCTGGCCCTCCTGACCAGCTTGTTCAGTCTACTCCTGTCCCGCTCTGTGCTGCCCGGGGCCCAGCACACGGCAGCATAGTATATGGCTGAGGCTACCACAGAGTCATTTACTGATTGATATTTGCTTTTGGCTGCAGCTGATGTTTTATTAATCATTATAGAGTCATGTGTTTACTGTGTTTACTGCATATTAAACCTCATTTAATAAATTAGTAATAAACGTTGAAATTTGTACAACACAGATCCACCTTTGTGTGAAACCAGACTTTTATATGCAGCATTTTCATATAGTTTTACAGTAAGTTTTTATATATGTTAACTAACTACACATTAACTAACATATCATTGTGCGCAAATGTAGTCACACGTAATAATACAAATATAATAATACATTTGGTTTAAAAGCGCCTTTCGAATTACCCAAGGACACTGTAAAAACATGGTTAAAAACTGGGTGCAAGTTAAAAACATTAGCATGATTAAAAACAGAAGTGGACGATGGTCTGAAATGTTATAAAACTATTGATAAATGTTTTGAAATAATCAAACAGTCTGCACGACATTTAAAGACACTGGCCTTTCATCAAGACGATAAACACCACCTCTCTGTCATTTAGCTCCAGTTATATTTTATTTTATTCTATTTTAACATCTTATTACTTATTTTAATAATTATCTTCAATAATGGACCGTGTTTGGTGCAATCTGAGTCTTATTTCCTTCTTTCTCTTCTGTAAAGTGCAACAATGAGATTGAAAGGAATTTTTTTATCATTTTGTACAACTGTCAATGTACTGGTCCCTTGTGGTCAGCGCTGGTATTACAACTAAATGGTAAAGGATTAGTTAAATGAGTTAATATTTTTGCATAAGGCTTAGAAGGTCCTTTTAATAAGACAAAAGTAAATATAGCTATAACTGCTTAATTACCACACGTTTTGACTGACGAAGGCAAACGTCTACTGCACATTTAGACACATATCAGTGTTGTACATATTTAAAAGTCTCTCCTTAATAGGGAAGTAGACGTCTTTGAGTGTCCAAAAAGTGCTATATAAGTCTGATTTATATGATTATTATTATTATTATTAATAAGTAAGTAATCTGTATTTATTTAGCACATTTTACAGACCAAGGTTTCACCCAAAGCGCTTTACAATATTCAGAGTTCATATATTTTTCATTCTCCACACATGGTGATGACAAAAGCGAGACCAGAACACACCGGACCATCAAATCCTCCGACCAAACACCTCCATTCACTCACTTAACCAGTACTAGCTTCCTTAACTTTTTTGTCTTATTTAAAGAAACTTCTAAGCAGTAAACAAAAGAACGTTGCATGTTTTATTCTTTGTGGCGTGATTGGTTGGTATCACAGTGAAATGTCAATCAGATTTAGATTAAATCATAAAAATATACTCTAACTTCCAGATGTAGAATGTCTCTGGCCCTCAGTGAACCACTCCTGTCGTGGGGCCTTCAGACAGTGACAGCTTTGCCCTGATCAGATCTGACTTTCCTCTCTGCGTCCGGCTTTATTTTTCTTCTCAGCCGTTGGGTGGTCCCTCTCCTCTCGGTCCCCCCACTTCGCCTTCTCCCTCACTCATTGTCAAGTTCACAGCGTCTGTTTCTCTTTGAGCTGCGCAGGTTGGAAACTCTACACCTGAGAATACACAATTAAGTTCACACTAGAGGTTAGAGTGGAAGTCCCAGTTCACACAGTCACACAGTCAGATAGTGCTGCTGGGAGGGGGCGTGCTGGGGGCTGTTGGTCTTTATGGGGGGGGAGGGCATTGGGAGCGTGCAGGTCCTGTAGTTTCAGTTTGGAGATTGGGGAGGATTTGTGTTAAAACTACATTTAAAAACAAGCACTAAAAACATGCACAACAGTCTGAATGTAATGAGTGAAAGGAGGGTGTTTGGTCGGAGGCTTTGATGGACCAGTGTGTTCTACGTCATCACCGTGTGGAGAGAATGGAACAATATCTGAAAAAAAATGTGCTATATAAATAAAGTACTTACTTACTATTTGGAGAGCATTTGTTCCCGAGTCAGAAAATACGCTATAGTTTACTTTAGAATGTTCTGGAAACAGCAGCGAGTTCTAAGTGTCTCTGAGAGGATCATGGTTTTACACTGGTCCAGACCAGAGCAGAGAGGATTCATGGTCCTGAACCAAGTGGATCAGGTGAAAATCCACTGCGGAATTCTAACTTTATGAAAAATGCTAATGAAGCATTTAGCATTTTAATATGAACAGAAATGCATAATAAGCAGATGCAAAAGTCGAAAAAGTTTTTTCTCCCTTGAAAAGCTCATAGTTGTGGTTCATCCGTGTTTTCATAAAAGTAACATGCTATTTTTCACATTCTTGTTATTAAAAATCCTGTGACTTTGATGCTTTGGGCTTCTCAGCCTCTGGGCCTTCATTTTTACATGTTCTGTCTGATAAAGCCAAAAAAATACATCCATGATTTATTTTAGAAGATATAAAGATGGACTATATGAAAAGGGTTTACTCACACCGCTGTCAGACTGTACAATAAGTCACTTTAAGTCCCTTATAACCTGCACCAGGACAGAAGAACCAGCTGCGACTGTCACTTTTTCACTGTCCATAATTACATCCTACCTAGCCTTTATCATAATAATCAGATATTATCAAAACTAAAATAAACAATGTATTACAATCCTGCCTATTTATCTGCAGTGCAGCAGTTTTAATACAGATAATAATAATAATAATAATAATAATAATAAATACAGATGTGCAGCTGAGACACACGTCAGACTCGGAGTCAGTCCAAAAATACACTTCCATAAGACACCTCCTGAACTCTCGTTGAATGTTTTAATTTAGCCTTGTTACCGCGGTTACCCTGGTGTCTCGCTCACACGCGATTGGGAGTCCCCCGGAAGAGCAGCTGGGAGCCCACGGACCCTCACACGAGGGGGTGAGGTGAGGAGGGTCTGAGGAGGAGGGTCTGAGGAGGGTCTGAGGAGGGTCTGTGGAGGGTCTGAGCAGGGTCTGAGGAGGGTCTGTGGAGGGTCGGCGGAGGGTCTGAGGAGGGTCTGTGGAGGGTCTTAGCAGGGTCTGAGGAGGGTCTGTGGAGGGTCGGCGGAGGGTCTGAGGAGGGTCTGTGGGGGGTCGGCGGAGGGTCTGAGGAGGGTCTGTGGAGGGTCTTAGCAGGGTCTGAGGAGGGTCTGTGGAGGGTCTGAGGAGGGTCTTTGGAGGATCCGACTGCTCACTTCCTGGTTTGGCCGCTCGCTTCCTGTTTTGGCTGTTGGCTGATGTTATTTTTAGGGCTGTCAAAATTATCGTGTTAATTCACGTTAATTACATTTTTCATTAATGCGTTAAAAAAAAATGTACGCATTAACGCATGTCCGAATGACCCACCCATTTATCCATAATAACACTCAGAATGCTGCGTGTGAGATGGCATCATAGCAGGTAGGCCCTCTAGGAATTCAAGTTTTAAAAGAATACACGCATGACCGCGGGGCTGTTGTTTGCTATGGACTGAGGTCCGCCTCCTCCGAGGCCGCTCTGGTTGTTAGCGGCTGCAGCTGACAAAAACACGGCTGTGAGCGAATGCCGCTGCGGTAACATGGTCATATAAGACCGTACACGCCACTGAACTATTCCTGTCCTGAAACTAAACTAAACTAAACTCGCTGAATTAAAGCTTTGGTACGTAAATTTCGCCCTTTTCAGTAACAGCTCATGTTGGTTTTGCCCAAAATCAAAATGTTGTGAGCAAATCTAACAGATTTAGGTACATTTGGTATAAATGACAATGTGTAATTACATTTGATGATCTCATTCCTCTCAGGCCCTAGTTATTTTATTTAACCCGAAAAATACCATTGCGATTCAAATTCTCTAATCTAATACACTATTATGAATCATTTACAGCTAATTATTTATGGATATTTTGTGTGTTCTTACTTCTGGAACCAATATATGTTCTCTTGTCATAATGTTCATGCCATTTCAATATTGTCTCACCAATATTCAAATGTTTAAACATACAGTATGTATATTTTAACCAGTGTGGGCGGGTCTCAGCTCCAAAAGGTCCATGAGCACATGCACCGACATGCTGATATCTGTTGGGGGTGTACCCGGAAAAAAAATTACCCAATGCTTCCATTTGGCGTCTCCTTTACTCTGGAAACGTCTTTACAGGATGGTTCAAAAGTGGCTCTTGGTTTAAAAGTGGTTCCTGGTCCAAAAGTGGCTCTTGGTCCAAAAGTGGCTCTTGGTCCAAAAGTGACTCTTGGTCCAAAAGTGGCTCTTGGTCCAAAAGTGGCTCTTGGTCCAAAAGGGGTTCTTGGTCCTCTTGTTTCTAGATGCTGTCTGAGGGGAGTATATGTTTTTGGACCAGTCTAGTTTAGTCGCTGTGGACTTTTGAATGCGCTCATTAAATGGATGAGGCTAGTGCAGCTAACACATGCACAAATGTGTTATTTCACATTTTTCGCAGCGGCCATTTTGAAAAAGCCACAGAAGCAAAAGTACATCCGTTAATATTTACATTCTATAATTTAAACCTTTCAATATAAAAACATCCACAGATTAATGGCATCTCCTGGTCTTTCAGAAAAGTGCCAACAGCTGCTAATGGTGCAAGACTTTGAAGTGTAACCGTTTTCTGTAAGAAGTTCCAGTCTGTGGGAGCTCTACACTTTACCCTGTATGTTCACAATCCAGAGCATATTATTATTGGCAGGATGCTCCTCCGCTGCTTCCAGGTTGTGGCCGGTCTCGAAGAGGGGCCAAGCATCAGTCAGTTTCCATTAATCCAGAGCAACCAGCAGTGATTGATCAATTAGCCGTGTTTAAACCTGGGGCTCAGCCTGATCAATAGCACTGATCACCAGCCAAAGGTTTTCTCATTAAGACCTGCTGCTCTGCATGAGTACACTCCATTAGCATAGGCCAAATGGGCTGGGGAAATGGTAAGTACTACAGCCCTGTCTTAAGTGCATTTCATCTTCTGTCTGATAATGTCAAAATGCAAAATGCCCAAGGAACAACTTCCTGCTCTGGTCTGTGACAGAGAACGCATCCATAATCCAATTAAAGTTAAACAACACAACACCATGAATAAAATGATGTGTCTTTAAAGGAGCAGTATATAAAAATGTGTCCAGAAGTGGTACTGCAGCCTCTCCCACTCTCCCTGACTCAAGTTGCCAGATATGCAGACTAATCCAGCTGGGACCATAACAGCTGAATAGATAAGAGTTTTGTCAACAACAAATCTATAACCAACACCTTTTTCACAAAGATAGAAATCCTGGTTTTAGTCCTTGTTTTGTCATTAATGATTTGAGAATCATATCGAGACCTTTTTTAGTTCTGCGTAGGGTTGCCAACTTGAGAACAAAAAAATAAGGGACACCATTTGGGTGGATCGGGTTGAGCACTTTTTAGTCCTAATTTCAATCTACACAGGAATCATGGAATCTCATAATCACAGTTTTTAGAATGTAATTTTTTGGCTACATATAAAAATCAAAAAAATTCTTAGGCAAAAAATAAATGTCATAAATAGGTGGAACTCTTTGGCTGGTTAAGGACTTCATACATTCTTATTAGTAATAAAAAATATAAAAAGACAAACGCTGTAACATACATTATTTATGTATGTTACAGTAAAGACCATTTACTGTAAAAGAAAAAAAAAAAAACATGTATTCATTAAAAAAACTCACACATGTTGAAATAAAAGTCTGTAGCAGTTAGATATGGTCATTATTTATAGTGTCTGAGAGTTTAGTGCGTGTACATGGCTTCAGTAAAAGCTATTTTTTGTTTACAAAGCTGGTATTGACATTGGTTGACGGTCCCTAAGCGCTTTTCTCGGCGCTTGCAGTGCACTGGATTCAATGGATTTCTCTGCATTAAAAACAGCGCATTGGATTTGAAAAATCAACATAGAGGTGATCATTATAGCAAATTACTTTTGTTTAACAAAGTAACTTCCGTGAGCTATTGACCGCGGAAGTCCGAATCTGGGAATATGACGCTACTTTACCAAACTTCTGCCAGGGTGATGCTGCGGGCATGGCCCCATAGATCCATGCACGGCCCACGCTGTCACTTGTCAACAGTAAGGGTAATCCATGGGGTAAACCCATGGATGTGATCAAGCCTACGCCCCCTTTGACACTGTTTGGCCGAAAGGTAGACGCTTAAACTGTGATTACTGTGTGTGCGTGTGTCGCTTGTGTGACATGCAGTGAGTGAGTGATGCATTTAAGGCGACTCTGAAAATACGGGACAAAAGCCGTTCCGTATCAGTTCAATACGGGACGCACATAGTTTTTCTATAATACGGGACAATTCCGTATTTCAAGGGACGGTTGGCAACCCTAGTTCTGCGTCACATGGTACTTTACCAGTGAGATTAGCTCAACGCGGTGAGTTCTGGCGCCCGGATCACGGACGTTCTGATTAGCTAAACGGTGGAGGGCGGGACATCGAAATGAAAACAATAACAAGATTTAGGGGCTGGAAAACTATTTTAGAAATTCAAATATCTCTGAACTATTGTTTATTATTATGACAAATTAGGGCCCTTTAAAGTAAGTAAGTAAGTAAGTAAGTAAGTAATCTTTATATACCGCCTTTCACAGACCAGTGTCACAAAGCGGTTTACAATTGTTATTTTTGGGCATTTATCCTCTCACTCCACACAGAGATGGGAGCGGGGTCACCAGTACAGGAGGCGCATGCCAGACCTATTGTATCACAGATTAGGGCCCTTTAATGACGACAGATTAGGGCCCTTTAATGATGAAAGATTAGGGCCCTTTAATGATGACTTGACATGAAAATCTTACAAATTGCTACTTTAAGCCTTTTTTGAGCTCGGTTTCGTCATTGATCTGAATGATATGATTTCAACGTCTTAAAAAGTCAAAAATACAAAAATGAATAAAAAACGCACAAATAAAGATAATTACTAATGGCATCCCGAGGCCTGCTGATCTCTTCATACCACGGTACTAGTTCCTCCTCTGCCCCTCATTGTCTCTATATTTTGTCCATCACCTGAAAAACAGCGGATGTTAGCGTGGCTAGCACAAACACATGCGCTCACCTTCTCAGCACTCCCTAAACAGCGGATATTAGCGCCCGGCTAGCACAAACCATAGACTGTTTATATTAACGGACAGAGTCACGCCTATCTCCGCCGTTCTAACTAATGGGCCAAAAAATGTGCTCTACCGGAGCTATCCAAAATGGCCGCGAGTGGTCCCGCCCACAAGAAAATTGTGAAAAAACGCATCTTCACAAAAAAAAAATTCACCCCCTCAGAATTGACACACATGTGGAACGGAGCTTTGGGCCAAGAGCCAACTTTTGGACCATCCTGTAAAGACGTTTTTGAGAGGTCTGCCAATGCTATATGTTAGCATTGTCTAATTCTTCTTCTGGGTCCACCGCCATTGGCCCGGGGTGGTATTGCAAGCATGTCAGCGCACGTCATTTTGGCCACTTTTGAGCCAGGACCTGCCCCCACTGGCACAAACACATGCGTTCACCTTTCTCAGCACTCCCTAAACAGCGTATGTTAGCGCCTGGCTAGCACAAAAACATCGCTCACCTTTCTCAGCCCTCCCTAAACAGCGGATGTTAGCGCCCAGCTAGCACAAACACATGCGCTCACCTTTTTCAGCGCTCCCTAAACCACATCGGACCAGAGCTATTGTTGAACTAAAACAATAGTCATTGAATTAAAAGTGTTTTTGGATGGGGCTGATGCGTGCTGCTGTCATGGGGACGAACATTAATATGCCATCGGCCACATCCGGACAGACGCCGCTTCCTGCATCTCTAGGTGACTCTGTGAGACGGCGGTAAATCTCTCAGCACAGGGATTTGTGGGTTTTTGTCAAAGACTGAATAAAGAGTTTATTTATGGAAACAAAAGATGATGAGAAATTAGACTTTTTTAACAAACGGTCACGAGATGGAAACAAAGAGGAGTTAAAATAATGGTTTAAAGAGGATTAGAGTTACACTGGACTAGCCACAAGGGGAGAGGGAGCACAGGAACATGTAGACACAGAGACACAGGTACATGTAGACACAGAGAGACACAGGTACATATTGACACACAGAGACACAGTATACATATGGACAGAGACACAAGTACAAATAGACACTGCAAGACAGGTGCATATAGACACAGGTACAACTAGACACACAGAGACATAGGCACATATAAACACACAGAAACAGGTACATATAGACACAGGAACATATAGACACAGAGACACAGGTACATGTACACCTATAGACACACCGGTAGTGTCTTGCCTAAGGACACAACCACAGTTTGACCTTTCACAGCTGCAGCCGCCCCACTGTGGCACCTGCTGTTCCCAGTGGTCTCCCATCCCAGCACTTACCAGGCCCTGCCTTGCTTAGCTTCAGAAATATATCTTGGTATGCTAGTTTTAAAGGATAGTTTTTCTAACAATACAGATCTCTTCCTTTCTGTGTTTTTTTTCTTTTCTACCATTCATCCCTGAATGGATCTTTGCAACAGTATTTTTACAGTTCGACGTTTTCAATAAAAAAGAGCTATTTTCTCTTTTAATGGTTTCAAAGGTGGAAGTTCATGAATGAGTTGTTTATCCTCGGTACTGAAAGGCATTCACTCAAGGACTCTATAGAAGCTCTGAGGAGATAAACGAGGAGCCGAGAGGTTGGGTTAGTCTGATATTAGCACTTTAGTCTGATATTAGCACTTTAATCTGATATTAGCACTTTAGTCTGATATTAGCACTTTAATCTGATATTAGCACTTTAGTCTGATATTAGCACATTAATCTGATATTAGCAGTTTAGTCTGATATTAGCAGTTTAGTCTGATTTTAGCACTTTAGACTGATATTAGCACTTTAGTCTGATATTACGATACTTTATACTTGTGCAGTTTGGAAGGATATTTTAATCATTTAGTTTGAGTAGTTTTGCATGAATAAATAGCGGATTGGTGTGTTCTTTTTGGCCTCGCACCAAAATATATTAGTGACATGTTAGTTCCATATGAACCGGCCCGGACTCTGAGGAGCACAGGGACTGGCCTCCTGCTGGGACTCTGAGGAGCACAGAGACTGGCCTCCTGCTGGGACTCTGAGGAGCACAGGGACTGGCCTCCTGCTGGGACTCTGAAGAGCACAGGGACTGGACTCCTGCTGGGACTCTGAGGAGCACAGAGACTGGCCTCCTGCTGGGACTCTTGAGGAGCACAGAGACTGGCCTCCTGCTGGGACTCTGAGGAGCACAGAGACTGGCCTCCTGCTGGGACTCTGAGGAGCACAGGGACTGGCCTCCTGCTGGGACTCTGAAGAGCACAGAGACTGGCCTCCTGCTGGGACTCTGAGGAGCACAGGGACTGGCCTCCTGCTGGGACTCTGAGGAGCACAGGGACTGGACTCCTGTTAGTGCCCAGAGTCAGGACTAAACATGGGGAGGCTGCATTTCAGATTCATGCTGCTAAAATCTGGAACAATCTTCCTGAAGATGTGAGACAGGCCTCCTCTCTGATAACGTTTAAAGCCAGGTTAAAAACAGTTCTGTTTAGCTGTGCATACAACTGAGGGATTTTATATTTTTAATGTTTATTTCTTTTAAATGTACTGTGATTATTTATGTTCAGCACTTTGAGTTGCCTTGTGTATGAATTGTGCTAGACAAATAAACTTGCCTTGCCTTGCCTTCTCAAAATGATGTTTTGGCAGACAGGGCCCAGTATCAAAGTGACATTTCCAAAGTTGCGGTGGGCTGTGGGTGTGATGTGTGGGATGGACAGATGGACGACACCCGCGACCAGAGGAAGTCCTTCTCCGATCACAACAGGAAAGAGACTTAGCACAAAAACAACCCCCATGTCTTTTAGGACATAAACTCACTTCCTCTTTGTTTCCAGCCTGCTCCCTGCTAATGCTAATCCTGTTTAAACACCTCTCAGACAGACAGAGGGATTGATCAGAGAGCGTCCCTGAGGAAAAGGCGTACAGTAACTCATCAATAATCCAGGACAGAAGGCTCCAGACCCATCAACAACGCAAACCACCGCTAAACCATAACCTCTTCTGCTTTATTCTGTGTGTACCGATGTGGTGTTCTGATTTATGTCGCTGAATTGCAGATGTGATGAGGAGCTTGTAGATGTAAGTGGCCCATCAATCCTTGTGCCATGACCGTTCAGTCTTACACCTACAGGACCCGTGGCTTTGAGAGTCATCCAATGAAAAGGAAATATCTGCAGAAGAGACGCAACTGTCAAACCACAAAACATCGGAAAGATAATCAAATACATCTCGATAAATGTATAGCAGCAAAAATAAAAAATAAAATTGATCATTAAAAAAGCAAACAATAGTAATAATCAGCAACAGCCTCAGGTCACAGCAGCAGAGGTGGAGTAGCCTCTGGGTGGAGCAGGACAGGTCACAAGGTGGAGTAGGTCACTTGGTTCGGAGCATTTTCCCTGCTCTGGTCCAAAGTAAAATGCTGAATGGTTCATTAGCATTTTTCAAAAAGTTAGCATTCCTCCTCCACTTGGTTTGGACCATGAATCCTCTCTGCTCTGGTCTGGACCAGTGCAAAACCATGAACACTGTACTGCAGCAACATCTTAAGTAGAAAAAAGCAAAACAATAATGTATAAAGCACAAAACAACAACTGTGTCAGAGCTATTTAGGACCTGCTGATGTTTTCCAGCGCATTCAAAAGTAGCTAACTCTAACTTACTCCTGGCTTTAGATTGATTGATTTTATTTCAAACCTGCAGAACACATTGTCATATCTTTACACTAAATAAAACAGGTTTCAACACAATAATACACAGAATACAGTGGAATCAACCAACATATATCAATACAAATTTGATACTGTGCACCACATGCCGTAGTGTACCGTACCTAACCATGGGGTATAGACATGCACCCCTACCCCTCTTTTTTACCCTTCTGTAACATTTAGATCCACTTTTTCAGACAGAAAAGTGACCATTACCATCATTCAGACAATCAACCTTCATCCCAAAGCATTAAATAAATCCTCACATGGCTAAAATAATCAAAATACAACTTTGGTTCTACATGACTGCATAATGTGGTCTGACTGGCTCATAACATGTGAGTTTTTGTCGGTATTTATGAAAAACGCATGTTAGGTACCTCAGCTTTAGAAATAGTGTATTCTGCTCTATAGCATTTATGATTAGAAAGTATTTTATGTTTTGAGAGTTTTGTCCAGTCCTAAAGAGGCTGCAGATGACTTGAGTACATATGAGAGCGTGGCCATGTCGTGTCTCGGGCACAGCTGTAAAAATCGTACTTCCTTCCTGCTCAGCACTTCCTGTTTATGTCTGAATGCAGGTCAGGACAGTGCACGTGCCCATATCTGACCCCATCTTATCACAAACTGGTTTACAAACTTTTATACCCCCAGAAAGAGTAGAAAGTTGTTTCAATTCAAATAACTTTATTCATCCGTGAGGAACTTACATTACTAAAAACATTTAAACAAGAGATCTAAATATGACGTTTTGTTTTATATGGTTTATTTATGAATAGTCAATTGGTTTTTGTTTGTTACTCTGTGCAGAAACGCGTTTTATAAAATGTGCTATATAAAGTGAATTGGAACTACAGTTAAGCAGAAATGTTTGTGCGTTCTCAAAAGTAGCACAATATATCAGTGTGAAAAAGGAGCAAGTTACTCAGTGAAATTAACTTCTGGCACCTTAATGAACGGGTCTAATGTACGAGGAAGTGAGGCTGACTAGTCGTGCAAGTTAGACCCAGTTTCTAGGCTACAAACCACTATTAGAACTTTAGAAAAACAAGTAGATTTTTCAGCCTAGCAACATCCATTTTAATATTCCTGCCTTAGTTAAGATAGATGCTCATCCCCAAAGCTTGGATTAACAAAATACTTTTAGCTTCCTACAGTCAACACCGCTCTTCAGTGTGAAAGATACAAGACTAAATGAGCCTTTTGCTGAGATTAGCTTTGAGGCTTTGAAGTAGCTTTGTAACATCACGGGTCAAATGCACCAAGCAGTGTACATCAGGACAGAAGTGTAAAATCACATTTATTAAAGTTTTAAAAGCATGTCAGTTTAGACGCCAACAAGTGAAAGCAAAGATACAAGACCAAATCCTGTTTTTGCAGGAGATTAGCCTGGAGGCTTATGTTGTGCCAATATACAGAATTAGCTTTGTAACATTACAGGGCAACTGCATCAAGTACTGTACCTTTAAAATGCACCAGATCAGACTAACACATGTAAAATCAGTTAATTTATTAAAATCATTAAAAAAAGTTAGTTAACTGCTCTTCAGACATAAGCATCTCTGCTTGTGGTGGAGCGAGGAGCAGAGTATTTGGCCGAATACCTTCCGTCCTTTCGCCGATCGCACTGACAACACAAGAGTCCTCCCCCGATGAGCAGCAGCCCAGCAGACCCCCATCCTATGAACAGGGCCGCCCCCAGCTCCCTCTTCTGGGCACTGACCATCATGGGACTGTAGAAAGTGCGGATGATCTCATTGGCCGACCAGGAGACCGGGATGAGACAGAGGAGGCCCCCCACGATGAAGAACACTCCAGCGACGATAGCAACTTTGCTTTTGGTCGCTTCATCTTCAACACAGTTTGTGCATTTACCTCCAGCGAGTGAGAGCAGCACGCCCAGGACCGTGACCAGAATGGAGATGACCATCAAAGCCCGAGCGGCCTGGAGGTCCTGCGGTAACGCCAACATGGAGTCGTACACTTTGCACTGCATCTGCCCCGTGCTCTGCTTCACACAGTTCATCCAGAGGCCCTCCCAGAAGATCTGAGCAGTCACAATGTTGTTGCCAATAAAAGCAGACACCTTCCACATGGGCAGGGCGCATGTGATGATGGCGCCAAGGAAGCCCACAGTGGACAAAAACACGGCGAGAATCTGTAGTCCCGCAGACGCCATGATGCGAAGAGAGTCTGCAGAGTTGAGCGTAGGTAAACAGGAGAATGTGAAACAACTGAAGGGCTGGAAATGGCTGCTTTTGACCTGGTCCTGGGACAGAATGGTGACAGCTGATTGGTTGGTTTTAGTGATGGGAAATGGAGAACACCTGCAGCAGTGGAGCCAGTGCAGCTTTAGGCCACACCCCCTTTTACCTGTAAACTCCGCCCACTTGAGAAGGCCAGGAAGAAGCAAGGCAGCATTATGTAGAGTTAATAGAATGAAGAAAGTATGACGGACAAAGGCACTGGATTTATTAAAGGGATTGAATGGTTTCATAAGTATAGTTATTTTTATGTTTAATATTATTATTTATTTATATAATCATTTATTGATTTTTCAAAACTTGTTTTTTTTTTTTTTTTTACACACATTAGAAAGTAACCTGAAACACTAGCGTCCTGAGACAAAAGACGCAGTAGGTGGCGGTATTCACCTAAACTGCTGGTTGCCACCTGCCAATAAATGAAAGAAGAAGAAGAAGAAGAAGAAGAAGAACTTTTGGATGTCTATTTTCACTTAATACAAACATAAAAAAGGTTTTGTCACGTTTAATGTTGATTTTTTTTACAAAATTGGTAAATAAAATAAAACATGGATGCCACCCTGGCCAATGAAAAGATAAGGATGGATGCTTTGGATGTGGATGCAGCCCTGGTTCTTTTCCACCGTCTCTGGTGTGATTGACAGCTGAAGGATCATGTTTGTAGATTTTAGCAATAGATAAAGTATTTTGAATAATGAATTGTAATTATTCTGTAAATATGTTATTTTAATATAGTTATTGTTGTAACTCATTTGACTTCCAAATGTCTGATTATCTTAGAGTTAAAGCTAATAATATATTTTAAGTTTGTGTTTGAGCCGCATGTGAAAGTAGAGTCAGGACGACCAGGGACAAAGTTTCATCCAATGTCAAGTGCACTTAGTGGAAAATAACAAGTTTCAAACATTTTCACAATCCACTTTGTATAAGGACATTGTGCCCTTTGACAATGTGGATAGTACAGAACTAAAAATATGAACCTTCATGTTTTTCTGTATAGATTTGATAGAATGAGATTTGTTCTTGTTTAATCAAATATAATTATAAATCCTTAAATAAGTAATCTTTTGTTTCTTTGAGACATTGTTTCAAACGAACATAAACGTTTAGTTCAGGGACATTAAGTTATTCTTAAATGTCGTGTGCATTTATTGAACAAAGTTGGAAAGAAAATACAACCAAAAAGTTCTTTAAACAAGCTGAGCAGGGCAGGGCCTGGTTAGTGCTGTTGATGGGAGACCTCTGGGAATAGCAGGTGCCACAGTGGGGCGGCTGTGGCTGTAAAGTGCCAAACTGTGGTTGTGTCCTTAGGCAAGACACTTCCCCCACATTAGAATGAGTCTGGTGTGTGTGTTTACTCATGGTTCGGTTGGAATCTTTAGAATTATGACTACATTTCTTCATACATTGACAGTTACTATTTATCACTTTTTAAACTAAACCTTGACAGATCTCAAATGTATTTTCTATTCGTGATTAAACTTTAGCAAATAGCATCATGTAAAAACTATAAATTATGTTAAATAATATCATAAATTATAAGGGCGACACGGTGGCTGAGCTTTTTCGCTTCTTTGTATCTCGGTCGGAACAGGGTCTTTCTGAGTGGAGTTTGTTCTCCCTGTGTCTGCGTAGGTTTCCTCCGGGTGCTACGGTTTACCCTACCCCTAAAACACATGTACAATAGATATGAATGTAATGAGTGAATGGAGGGTGTTTGGGTGACCTTGGTCTGTGAAAATACGCCATATAAAAAAGTACTTACTCGTACAGTTTTTTATGGAATGGAAGATTCTAAATGAACAACTAAACTATTTTTGTTTTGTTGTTATCATTTTCTGCTTAAAGCTTGGACCTTTATCTCCCATAAAGCCTTTGGAGTCTTTGGAGTCTGTATAAATGTGTGTCTATGAAGCTCTCACCCCCGAATCCAATATAATTACTACATGACTCCGCTTTACAAATGTGTATTTAAATAAATATCAAGATGGGTTTTTTTTTTATCATTCACAGTCTTCTTTGATATCTCAGCTTTCATGATTTTGTCCAAAAGCAAAATATTCAAGTTTTATTTCCACAATATGTAGTACGTGTCCGGACATTTGATTGTATTGAATGAATCCTGGACACTTTCTATACAGTGACATGGTTCATCACAAACCTCTGCCTCCATTTTTTCTCACATATTTTTCATGTCAATATTTCTGTTATTTATTCTAGTATTTCTCTATCTCTTAGGAAGTTTTAGGGCTCCACCTTTTGTCAGTTTAGCGAGAAAGATAGATAGAATCAGGTCACAGCAGCAGAGCTTGGTTCTGACCATTTTCTCTGCTCTAGTCTGGACCAGCGTAAAACCATGAATCCTCTCTGCTCTGGTCTGGACCAGCGTAAAACCATGAATCCTCTCTGCTCTGGTCTGGACCAGCGTAAAACCATGAATCCTCTCTGCTCTGGTCCGGACCAATGTAAAACCATGAACACTGAATTGCAGCAACATCTCAGGCAGAAAAAAAAAAAGGAAAATAACAATCATAAATCTCTGGCGTCAGGATTGGTAATTGGACTGTACAACATGGAATTTTACATTAAAACAAAAAAAACATAGCCCTTTTCAAAATACGTCCATCTTCTCCTCACCGTCAGCCGGTCGGGGTCACGGAGCCGGCCCCCACAGATGCTGAGGAGGTCTCCCTGGGGTCCGCACTCCAGGTCCCGTCTGGGCCTGGGTCTGTGATGTCCTGGTACCAGTGAGCTCCGAGAGACGCCACAGACTAAATAATCACATTCTCATCATGGCGACAAAGTGAGAGCGCCGCCTTTCAACTTCTGCCAGACACAAGACACCGCGGCTTCAAACAAACTTACTGTGTTTTTAAAAAAAATCTGCTTTAAAATATTTCCATTTGGCGGAAGCGGAGTGAGTGTAAATTGGGGCTGATAGGAGCAGAGTACAGTACACTCAAGGGGAAACAATATTAAATTTGCGATGCAGATTTTGTTTGTTTTTGCAACATCCATATAGCACTTTAAGTCTAAAACAGTCAATCAGAAACACAAATGCAGTGATGGGCAGAGAGGGTTCGCTAACACATAAAAACATGTGGCTTTTTATCGCTCTCTGGTCTCTCTCTCTGGTCTATCTCTGGTCTGGTCTCTCTCTGGTCTGGCTCTCTGGCCTCTCTCTGGCCTCTCTCTGGTCTCTCTCTGGTCTCTCTCTGGTCTCTCTCTGGTCTCTCTCTGGTCTCTCTCTCTGGTCTGGTCTCTCTCTCTGGTCTCTCTCTGGTCTGGTCTCTCTCTGGTCTCTCTCAGGTCTATCTCTGTTCTGGCCTCTCTCTGGTCTCTATGGTCTCTCTCTCTGGTCTCTCTCTGGCCTCTCTCTGGTCTCTCTCTGGTCTCTCTCTGGTCTCTCTCTGGTCTCTCTCTGGTCTCTCTCTGGTCTCTCTCTCTCTGGTCTCTATATGGGCATCGACTGTATGTACGTTCTTTATTCCCATTTCAATATTCATCTTCTTTTCTCTTTTCTCCTCTCTGGGATTCGATTGTCTCCAAACATATTTGAGGTCACAGGAACAACATAAGCATTCCGTCGTTTCATTGGCCAATCCGCTGCTACGATGTTGCGAGTTGTGACATTGGGGTCGCGGCTCTTTCAGCCCTCTCTCTTCTTTGTCCTCCCTCTGCTGCTCTGAGCCCAGCGCCGCCTCAGAAAAAGGTCAAGACCCGCTCAAGTGCAGTCAAGCTTTCACCTTCGCCACTTGGCTGAGGTCTGGCCAGATTCATTTTGCGTTGCCAGTTTGGTGTGCCGCACAATGGCCTGCCGTGCGTGTGTTTGTGTGTGCGTTTCTCCTCCCTTTGAAAGACATTGGTGCAGGCGTTTTAACAGCGACTGTCTCTGAATCAGATGTTCTAACCCCCCGCTCGCTAAATGGATTTCTGAAGTGGCTGTAGTTGGAGGCTTTCAATCGGATGCAACCTTGAGTCCTTTTTTATGTGAGCTCTGTAGGATTTAAGTGCCGGTATAACATGAGCCCGGCTGAATACACGTTCTTCATTTTTTGAAATTGAAAAATCTCTACAGGCTCTCCCCATTGTGTTGGCAATTAATGGAATGCTGGCAGCGAGGTTCAGGTGCTTAAAAGTTGTATTTTTTCTCTCTCATTCTCTTTTTAATGACTAATAAAGGATAATCATGGTAGAAAAAAGCGGCATAATGCTGTAGGCTTCCTCTTTATGCACAATGATGTATAATGCATGCTTTGAAATGAAACGGCAGCGGCCTTCGACGCGCTTCGGCTTCAAACCTATTTGTTTTTCCGCAGCGATGCTTTTGCATAACAATGCTGAGTGTTCCTATTAACAATGCTAACCCATTAATTTGATCTTTATATTTTTAAAGTTTGTCCATCAGACTGACACACAAAACCTCCCACTGATGCTTTTTGGTGGAAACCATTGGAAAGTTGGATAATTGGCCTTTTAAGCCTCATTAATTTCACCAGAGACTGAACCATTAAAGTACAAGCAATTCAAGTGGGATTTGTGGCATAAATATGTCCCACAAATAAGAAAAACATTAATGAAAATAAGTAAAATACTGCTTAAAATAATACACATGATCTGTCAATAGAAGAAGAAAATATGACTAGATTTCTTAAAATAATCAAATAAAACATACAAACAAAAACATACATTTCAAGTATTATTTACTTATTTCTTAAATATTTTTGATGTTTTCTTAAAATACAGCATCACAAACTTATTTTATCTTAACAAGAAAAGTCTGGAAATAAGAAAAAATACTTAATCTTAAAAACTCACTGCTCAGACTTTTTTCTCTAATAAGATGAGAAGAATTATTATCTTAAAACTAGTAAAATAATCTTATGACAAAATAAGCATCATTTATGTTGTTTTTAGTGAATAAATCTGACCGAGATGTTATTTTTCCAGTGTAAATGTGTTTTATAATCCACAAGTCTGTGTCCTTATGTTTACATGTGTCTGCTGCACTTTGAGACTGAGATCTCGTCTGAGTCTCTCTCCTTCTGCTGGAACGCATCCAAAATCTTTTGTTTTTCCTCGAGTCCTTTTCTCTTTGACGATCCAGAGAAACGTACGAGCGGTAAACACGAGTGATGTTGTTCCAGAGTCTAAACGCTTCTCGTCTCTCTCTGGCAGAAGCAACTTGGGGCTGTTTGTGTGACGGAAAGGAAAAGTAGTTTAGGAGCAGTGTGTGTGTGCATTAGCGGCTAAAATACTGCTTTTGGCGACTTATTCATTTGTGGTTTTTTCTCTCCATTTTCTCTGTTTCTTCCTTTTTCATGTGTCTGGTTCTGGGAGAGCGGAGGTTTGAGGCGGACGTCCACCTTCAGGGATGCGCATCGCTGCATTTCTGAGTTTTTTCACCCCAGGCTGCACTTGTTAGAGTCTGTGGATAAATTATATATACATTATTTATACAAATTCAGGGCAAGTGAAGCTGGTTTTCCACATTTAGAGACAGGAGCGAAGCAACGAGCTGTCACTGTGCGCCGCATCTTAATAACAGCTCTGTGTGTGTGTGTGTGTGTGCGTGTGTGTGTGTGTGTGTGTGTGTGTGAGTGTGTGTCTGTGTGTGTGTGTGTGTGTCTGTGTGTGTGTGTGTGTGTCTGTGTGTGTGTGTCTGTGTCTGTATGTGTGTCTGTGTGTGTGCGTGTGTGTCTGTGTGTGCGTGTGTGTGTGTGTCTGTGTGTGTGCTGTGTGTGTCTGTGTGTGTGTATGTGTGTCTGTGTGTGTCTGTGTGTGTGTGTGCGTCTGTGTGTGCATGTGTGTCTGCGTGTGTGTGTGCGCCTGTGTGTGTGTTTGTATGTGTGTGTGTGTGTGTGTGTCTGTGTGTTGTCACTGTGCGCCGCATCCTAATAACAGCCGCTCTGTGTGTGTTTGTGTCTGCGTGTGTGTGTTGTCACTGTGCGCCGCATCTTAGTAACACCCGCTCTGTGTGTGTGTGTGCGTCTATGTGTGTGTGTGTGTCTGTGTGTGTGCGTGCGTCTGTGTGTGTGTCTGTGTGTGTGCGTCTGTGTGTGTGTGTATGTGTGTGTCTGTGTGTGTGTGTTGTCACTGTGCGCCGCATCTTAATAACACCCGCTCTGTGTGTGTGTGTGGGTGTGTGTCTTTGTGTGTGTGTCTGTGTCTGTATGGAAGTGTATGTGTGCGTGTATGTATATGTACGTGTGTGTGTTTGTGAGTGTACCTATTAATAAATGTGGTTTGTGGGATTGTTTTTAACCAAACTGCACTTATTTGTGTGAAAAGCGCTTTATAAATAATTGTGATTTAATTGTATTGATAATTGTGGTCATGTGAGACTTTGTACTTGCAGAGAGTTGTTTTGAGTTGTTCGATTGAGTTCGGAAATATTTTTCGGAAAAGTGGGGTTAAGTGTCTTGCCCAAGGACACAACGACTGCAGACATCAGTGGGAGCAGATGACATGGGTGGGCTCGAACCCACGAACATTAGGTCCAAAGACCAGTGCTCTACTGTCGCCCCAAAGCCAAAAATTTATTTGTGTTTATTTATTGAATATTTATTTAAAGGGACAGTGTACATTAGGCTCAAAGACACATTTGTTCTGCACCGGATCAAACCTAAACAGCTGTTTCCATCTGCGGCCTCATACTTTCAAGTTTAAACTGTCTTCCTCCAGGAGCCATAAACTATCGTAACAATGTCATATTTTCAAAACAAGATCAACACATTGTGAGTCTGATATTAATCTTGGAATGTTGATGAAATCTACATAAAACATTCTAACTTAAAGATATAAAGCAGGTTTTTCACACATTTTAGGAAAGAACCGCCCTCTCCACTTTTTCAAAACTCTCTGCTCTTATTGGACGAGCTCGTATCACCAGAATGATTGACAGTCAGGAGGACCAATAGTCTTGATGATCCACCCGGAAGTAGATAATCCTCCTGTATTCATTTAATACCAAAAGAGCCACATGGTTCCTGACCCTGCTCTATGTTGTTCTGAATCCCTGTTTTATAAAATTATTTTCTTTTGAAAAGGAAATCGACTGGAAATGAAGATTACACTATTTTTGTTACATTTGTCTTTGTATCTGGTCATGAATGAACTTTACTATTTTTGAGTTTAATAAAAATGTTATTGTATGTACTATTGTTAATTAATTAAAGTATATATGTCAAAAAGCTGTTTTTATATTTCTGTCTGTAAAATGTTGTGTACCTGTTTGAATCCACAATCTTACCACTGGTTTTTGTGTTTCATGGTTTTGTCCTCATGGTGTGCGGTGCGGCAGGAGGAGGCCCCAGACCAGCAGGAGGCCCCGGGGGAGCAGCAGGAAGCCTCAGACCAGCAGCAGGAGGCCCCGGACCAGGACCCGGTGGTGGGCCGTAGCAAGCGTCACGTCCCCCTGGATCTGGAGCTCTGGTGCTTCCCTCGGGGCCCGCACTGAAGCCTCCGACTCTCTGCTTCCAGCGGTGAACTCAATGTTTTTCATCTTTGTGAATGTGTTTGTGAAAATCAGTGGGATTTGAACCCAGGGACAATCCGTGATTTTGTTTAGGGACAAGACCACAATTACAAAAAACCTTTGTATGAATAGTTATGTTTTATATTTGTGTATAATTAAAGGAACAATATGTAAACATGTGTCCAAAAGTGGTACTGCAGCCTCTCCAACTGTCCCTGACTCAGGTTGCCAGATATGCAGAGGAATCCAGCTGGGACCATAACAGCTGAATAGACAAGAGTTTTGTCAACAACAAATCCCCAACCAACATCTTTTTCACAAAGATAGAAATCCTGGTTTTATTCCTTGTTTTGTTGTTAATGATTTGAGAATCATAACGAGACCTTTTTTTTGTTCTGCACCACATGGTGCTTTACCAGTGAGATTAGCTCCACGCGGTGAGTTCTGGGGCCCGGATCACGGACTTTCTGATTGGTGAAACGGTGGAGGGCGGGACATCGGAATGAAAACAATAACAAGATTTAGTAATTTAGAAATTCAAATATCTCTGAACTACTGTTATCAGTTAAAAAAAGTATTGGAAAAGAGCAGTTTTTTTATTATGACAGATTAGGGCCCATTAATGATGACAGATTAGGGCCCTTTAATGATGACAGATTAGGGCCCTTTAATTATGACAGATTAGGGCCCTTTAACAATGACAGATTAGGGCCCTTTAATGATGACAGATTAAGGCCCTTTAATGATGACAGATTAGGGCCCTTTAATTATGACATATTAAGGCCCTTTAGTGATGACAGATTAGGGCCCTTTAATGATGACAGATTAGGGCCCTTTAATGATGACAGATTAAGGCCCTTTAGTGATGACAGATTAGGGCCCTTTAATGATGACAGATTAAGGCCCTTTAATGATGACAGATTAGGGCCCTTTAATGATGACAGATTAAGGCCCTTTAATGATGACAGATTAGGGCCCTTTAATGATGACAGATTAAGGCCCTTTAATGATGAAAGATTAGGGCCCTTTAATGATGACAGATCAAGGCCCTTTAATGATGACAGATTAGGGCCCTTTAATGATGACAGATTAAGGCCCTTTAATGATGAAAGATTAGGGCCCTTTAATGATGACAGATCAAGGCCCTTTAATGATGACTTAACATGAAAATCTTACATGTTGCTTCTTTAACTTGTGAACCATAAATGATCAAATATTACTTGAGTTTTGATGAAAATGTTTTTTATCGATTTGTTAGAAGTTGTGTGAAATCCTCTTTGAACCTTTCCGTTCTTCCACAAATAAAGTGTTTTTTGTTAATAATTGATTTGTGATTTCTTGGACAATAAAGAGACCAATCTACAGTAAACAAATTTATTCTGGCGTGGACACATCACGTCATGTAACACAGAGATGAGAACCAAGAAACGCAATAAATTATCTTTATGAATGAGCGTGAGCAGTGACATCTGTACATCGGGTCAAATACACTTAAAAAATCTACAAAAACTGAACCTAAAATGGACCATAAACAAAACGCTTCAGGAACAAATGCTGCAGACACAAAGAAAGTGATTCCTTTGATTTTAGCGTCTCACGACATCGAGCTGCAAACAGAACACGCAGAATACAAAACACCCATTTTTTTCTTCAAATCTTTGACATCTTTTTTTTTCTGGAAATGGTTGAGATCTTTAAGCCACAGTTCTCTCCAAATGACCACATGAATGTAAACACCTGTTTTATCTTACAACATTAATACTTTCATATATATATTTATATATTTGTACATATTTTCATTCACATCTGCACGGTTAGCTAGCATGGTGATGAAATAAGGCAAAACACACCGACGTGTGACATCACAAATCCTTCAATACTGATCCAGGTGTGTTCTGCAGGCTTTGGTCAAAATAAAACACGGCTCTTTAAACACTTTGCTTTTTCCTTTTTCTCGGAGGGCAACGGATTGTTTTTGGTTATCAAATGAAAGTACATGTTTGAGGTACATGAAAGTATACGAGACAATACTGGGTTAGCAAGATGACGAAAGAATTCCCCTGAATGGCTTTGTTCTTTTTTCTTACATGTTTTCATTCAGTCGTTGGTGAGGACAGTCTGAAGTATTTACAGTACCATGAGGTTTGGCGACGGCACAATTAGCGCTGCTGCCACTGAGGACGTTAGCTTCTCCATGGTCCATGCTAATTCTCCATGGTCCATGCTAATTCTCCAAAGTCTGTCAGTGTTTTTCTCTGGTCCTTTATGAGAAATCACTGATTTTAAATAAACTGAGCACATTTCAGTCCTGTGCAAGCTTTCCTCCTTCTTGGTGGTGAGTTTGGTAAAAGCATGGTTTTTTGGCTAGCAGCTGAAGCTGTGCACAGAGGTGCATCGTGGGAGTTGTAGTGTCTTAAGCTCTCTTGGCGTGCAGCATCTCGATGAGCAGGTTGTTGCAGGGCACGTCTCCGTTCAGATGTTTGTAGTAGAGGTACTCTTCGGCCTGCAGACTAATGGCTCGTATCTCCGGCAGCCGCAGCAGTAACTGGCCGAACTTGTCCGATTGTTGAGGATAGTTACACATGACGTAGTCCAGCAGTGCCGCGTTCACCTGCTCCTGCACGCTCTCCACCAGGTGGAAGTTCTCCAGGTTCTTCACATCTGGAAACGAAGGAGACAGAAGATCAAAGAACTGTTCTAATATAAACCCAAGTGTGTGAGTGTGTGTTTTCATTAACCCTTCAGGCGTTCTGACATCTTGACATCAAACTCTGTAAAGAAGTCTCTTGTGGACCACGAGAACACAACATGGTCTACAGTCACGACCACTGACACTTTGTTGTCTGGAAAATTGTGGTGTTTTGTGCATCTGATCTTTTATCTGTATATAATTTACCCATTTTACATATTTTACCACATGTCTAACCCTGTTTTGTTTTGTCTTTGTGATGGTGAGTGTCTGTGTGTTTGTGTCTGTATGTGTGTTTGTGTCTGTTGTATGTTTTATAGTAGTAGTAGTATTTTTATTTGAGCAGTTTTACAATGTATTTTATGTTTTTTTACAGACACATTTAACTCAATCTCAAAAGGAGAAGGCAGAAGTAAATCAGTGCCTTCCCCATTGTTCATGCCTGCCCTGGGACTGCGGATGAAGATTAGCTTACATGCTAACTCTGGCACATTTACATGGTGAAAAACACATGTTGATTATGTGCACTGTCCCAATTCAAGTAAAGATAAAAAAAATCAAAGGCTTTATGCAAATTAGAGGAATGATAAGAATGGCCCAAAGTTTATGCAGGAATTAAATATAATGTGCATATAATGACTTCATACGGTGGAGCAATCGTTTTTTTACAGACACAAATCACTAGGACATGAACGCACAAACAGAACTCACACTGCACCACACTCAAGCGTCCGGGAAATAGAAAAACTTGTAAATCATCGTGTGGCAGGAGTTTGGATGAATTAATAATGTATATTGTCGACTTAAATCCACCGAGGATTCAGGGTTGAATAATGATCATAATATTAAAGTCAGTTCATGTTTACGGTTATGATTTTTAAAGCTTTTGCCTTTTGCAAAACGACTTCTTTGAAAAGTCCATTTGTTTTTGTTTTGTGTAACTGTTGCATGTCAGGACAGTGAATTCCAAAACCCCAGAGAGTTGGATTTCCCCAGAGTTGGTGAAGTAGGACACGAGTCATTTTCGCCTCAGACTAAACTCAGTTCAGTCAGAGATAAAACACACAACCTCCTAACTAAGGTATGTTTCTATATTTTAATCCCTCTATATGCTGTGTATCCCCCCCCCCCTCTCTCTTTGCTGCACAGCCATAAGCACTTTTTCCTTGACCATAATAAGCTCACTGGGGGTTTGTGCTCCAGATTACTGCAAGACCAGACAAAAATTTGCTAAATGGATAATGGTGGACAGGAGCACAGCGAGTATATTTGTCCTGATCATGAAGCTCACCAGGCAGCCTAATATTTAAATAAGCCCCCCCGTCTCTGTGCGCACATCTCTGATCTTTTATTAATCCTTTTGACCCCAGGTTGGGAGCGCTCACGGCGGCTAATGCCTCATGACGGGGTCCCTGTGTCTCTGACAAGCTCCCGACCCCTGCACACACTCCAAGATACAGTGATTCTAATCCACTTTTTTCGTTTTCAGCACGCACACACTTTGCAGAGAGAGCGTGAGGGGTGGGGTGGTGGTGGTGGGGTTGGGGGGGAGATAAATCAGGAGCTAACGTAGGTCTGCCGAATGAGAAGCAGCACCTTCAAGGCACTTCCATCCAGGACGCACTCTAGCATGCTATTACAGTGTGGGCTGCCGTCTGCGCTCACCCTGACCCCGCAGTGACACGGCGGGGGCTAAATAAGGCCAAGAGGAGGGCAGGGGTAATGGAGGAGGTATGTGGGGGGGGGGGGGTCCCGCTGACAAAAAGACCTCCAAACAAACATGACATGTGCTTTTTCCTGCTGCCACTCAGCTGCATGACCTCAGACTGTTAAAGCAGATATGAACCCAGATCATGGGCTAATATGAGTACCAAATATGGAGTCGGTTCCAAAATGACACTTTCACTGCAAACAACAACAGCAGCAAAAAGGTGGCTTGAACTGAGTGTATAGAATAAAAAATGAGTAGAATATATGACAGTCTTGTTTACCAATCCACTATATTTATATAACACAATTTAACCACAGTTTGGCACTTTACAGCCGCCCCACTGTGGCGCCTGCTGTTCCCAAAGGTCTCCCATCACAGCACTAACAAGGCCCTGCCCTACTTAGCAGCAGCTGTCCGACAGAATCTGAGTTTCACATGACTTTGACAAATTTGAACTATAACTAGATTTATAAAATTGTCTTTTTAGCTTTTTTCTGAATATAAAATACAAAGAAAACAAATTTAACTTTTTAATCCTGATTCCTATACTATTTTAAAAACCCCTTTTTTCCCTGTTTTCATCCACACTTTGAGCAGAGGGGGACAGACCCCCCCTCTGCCCCCCCCCCCCCCCCTCTGTCGGGATAATTAGGGGAGAGAGCGGCAAAAAGACAGCATTTTAATTGCTAATTATCACAAAACCTCTTTTGGAAAACAATGAATGAAAATGAGAAAAGGATGAACGATAAATTACAATTTCTTAAAATAATTTAAGTGTTTGCACAAAGCAGCGGAAACTGACAAGATTTATTCACAAACAATTCTTCATAATCTTATTGGAGAAAAGAGTCTGAGCAGTGAGTTTTTAAGTTTGTTTTAAGTATGTTTTTCTTATTTCCAGACTTTTCTTGTTTAGATAAAATAAGTTTGTGATGCTGTATTTTAAGAAAAATGTTTAAGAAATAAGTAAATAATAATTGATGTGTATGTTTTTAAACTAGAATCAAGTCATTTGGGGCTAGTTTTATTTTATTATTATTATTACATAAGTCATATTTTCTTCTTCTAGTAACAGATCATTTTTTATTATTTTAAGCAGTATTTTACTTATTTTCATATTTTTTTCTCCAGGGTTTTTATTCCAGTAAAAATGAATATTCAGATGTCACCTCCAAACAGGCCGTGCAGTGCCAGGTCAGAGGCTCTCTCTCCTCTCGTAGCCCACAAACCCCCGCCCTCTCGCTCCCTCTCATTGTTCAGTCACACTGGGACTAATTATCAACTTTTTCACATTAAACACACACAGTTCATGGCAACGCAGCGTCCGAAAACTCACACGGAAAACCCTGAGGTCCTCACAATGTAGTGTTCTGTTTGACGGACCATCACTGCGACGTAACACACACACACACACATATACAAGCGCACACACATAAAAGCGCACCCACACACATACACATTCAAGTGCACACACACACACAAACATACTATTGCACACAAACATACACGCGCACACACATACAAGTACTCTCACACACACACAGACATACACGCGCGCACACACACACACACACAAGCGCAGGTTTAAATCCGTTTTGAGTACAGCCCCATTCAACGGCTGTGTTTTAATTAGTCTAGATTCATGTGTTCGTTTTCTCACCGCTCTGGGGACACACGATTTTCCTGCTTTGTGAGGACATTACGCTGACTTTCATATTTACTTAATCAAACTGAACAGACCCATATCTTAACATTAAAACATGAAACCACCTCCAATGTAGCCTGGTCTTACCATACCATTGTACTCATTTCATTTCGTACTAAGGTCTGGATTTGCTCCTTTGACTCCGTTAACAGGTGGGAGGGATTAACTCCTTTTGCAGATTTAAACGATTCGATCTGAGTTTACTGTGACATATGTAATGAGCCCGAGTGAGTGAGGCATTTAGCATTTAGCCTAGCTTTAGCTTTTATTCTAGCTTTTGCCATCTCGTTTGCCACTAATGGAGACCGTGGGGAGTAGAGCCACAACATCTTTGCTACAATGACATTTACTAAACATTCCTCTTGCTCCGGCTTCAGTTTCTTGATATTTGGATTGAACCAGAACAGATTATTTTATCATGGACCAGAGTTACAGACGGATAAGATTATAAGATCCTTTTTTTGTCCCACAGTGGGGAAATTTCAGTGTTGCATCACAAGTTTTAGGAACACACGGTACAAGTCAAGTGAACAATAGCTATACTAATTAAAATAAAACAAAATCGCTAACTCTAGCATCAATAAAAGTATAAAATCTTTATCTTGAAAATAATAATAAAAAGAAGTGTAAAAGTTTTACGTCTGACAAGTATTAACTCAATTCTCTCACAAAGCAAAAGGTCCCGTGTGCATTCCACTCTTGTTCCCCACAATGTAAGGAATACCCACCCACACACATAGCACCGGTGGCATCAGTATTTGCTTCTGGATTTGGAACAGAGCCAGAAGAGAATCTCATGTAAAGCAGTGAGGTCAAAGTTCTGGACCGAGCCGTAAAACGTTGACCGTGTAAATGCTACAGCTGTACATTCTCCTGTGAAAACGGACAATTGGGGCTAAATGATGTCACTGCCTTTAACACCTGCTGCACAACTCAATATCCCACTTTACAAGACGATATTTTTCCCTTCACAAAGTACTAGGGCAAAACATTGCAAATAAAGGCTAATGTTAAACTCTGTCTTTGAGTTTTGACTGAAATAAACATAATTAAGTGTTTTAATGAAGACAATAATACCTGTAAGACAAACAGTTATATACAACAGTAATTCTTCACACATTATAAACAGTAATTAAATGCAATACAAATAAACGTATGTGTGTTTTTATATCACAATTATGGCTCAGTTTATAGCGGGATTTGCTTTGTTAGTAAACTACGACAAGTGTATCATCCCAGTGGAGGAATCTGGAAACTTTCCAACATGTTTTTAACAAGTAAAACTTTATAAATGATCCTGACATTAATAGTATTGTCCCTCGTGTTGTTTTCTAACCTTCAACCACAAGTAAGAAACTTGCAATAAAACGTGCTTTTGCTGTCTAAGTTCTGAAGTCTGAACTCCCACAATGCCCCGGCAAAGAGTGAAGTATTTTCCATGAGTGCCAAAATGCCTGCACACACACTCTGGTGGAGATGGTTATGAAGCTGCAGAGTTGCGTCAGGTTTATATGATGTGTTTAGAGGCCGCTCTGCTTTGAACTGGACTCTTATCAGCTCCATGTTACAACGGCTCATTATTCGCCTGTGGAAGTTGTCCAATCAGAGGCTGTGGATGTCGTCCAATCACAGGGAGGGGCGGGGGCAGAGAA